CGCACATTTTACCTTGAGCAGGCCATTGTGACTTTAATTGCTGGCGAATGTCCGAATTTCTTTCCAAGCACCGAATTTCTTCCTATTGTTTGCGAAGGTCGTATGTTTTCTTTCGTTTCGTCTCGTCTCGTGCATTTGCTTCAACAAAAGGGAACTATAGTGTTTTGCACATCAAACGCACTTCAAATTTTCTCCACACACGTACAATGTCATTGACAACATCGTAAAAGATTGAAAGCTCTTTTTCTGTCTCTTCGTGGACAATCTTGAACCACACAAAAAGTAGGATACAAAAATTTGTATACAGTAGTTCGAAACGAGTTTTTCTCAGGCTCATACGCAGCGAAGATCGAAAACATACGAATTAGTGTCAATGCATTGAATTCTTTTGCACGGCGGGGAAAAAACTTTTTTTGAAATCTAAAACGTTCTCAACTCAAGATGTGCTAGTAATTCTATTGAAGAAACGAAAAGCTACACAAATTCGTGAATGGCAGTACAGTACTTCCTAAAAATAATATTTTGATGATCAACTGCAAAATACGGCTTTAATTTTTTCTGGTGAAATTAATCTATCGAACACTTTTCTGACTAATTTTCAGTAAATTTATTCTTCCGATCAAAATTTCCAGACTCTTCCTTTGATATGAAGTCTTAAATACAGTCTTGATGATATTGTACTCAATATTTAAAAAATTCGAATAAGTGCATATTTTTGACTCACTGGCTTTTCCCATATGTTAATCCAGGAGAGAAAGAAACGGGTTTCTGACGCAACCTGAGTTTTTTCTGAGTCGATTATATTTAAATGATTGCGCCGAATATTACATATAAGGTACTCAAGAGAAAATTGACGAGAAAAGCAAAAACTGGAAAAATTCTGCAGTCCTCGAGAACAGTTTAGTTTTTTTATAAAAAGCCTCATTCGAACCACATAACAGTCTTTTTTCCCTTAATCAGATTATTTCCATAATTTTGGCGTTCTTTTCCAACTGACGACAAGGACGGAATAATTTAGTCGTTTTCATACCTCTTCATATCACATTTCGTTAGCCTACTTTGTTTTTCACGGCTTGGATCAACGCGATTTTTTTGTAAATCGAAAACTATGCATTCTGGGGAAAGAGAGATTCTTCCGTTTCAATCAGCTGATCGAATAATGTGGATCCCTACGTCATTATTGGCGATTATTGATCGATCAATTCTTTTCTCGCTGATCCTCAGCTAGCGTATCTCGTTGTAAATTTCTTTTCTGCCAATATGTGCAGGACATCTACGAAATTATCAAATGTACTCATTCACAATTCAAGAACGACGAAGGTTTCACAAGCTCGTCAAAATTGTCTGAAAAATAAACGGAAAACAGTGATGATGAAAAGTTCGTCGTCAATTCTGATACGAATATTCAAGATCTCATTCATCCCGCTTCACCAAGCTGTGCGGAATTTTCCCGCCAACTTTGACAACAGTCATGAAAATCCCTGAAAAGGGTAACAGGGAAACGAGTTTCTCGAAACTCAATCGGCGCATCTCGGGACGCGTCTCAAAATAGTGCAAAATAATCCCCCTGACAGGGCGGCAAGTCAAAACAATTGTAAACCTTCAAAAAACAATTCCCTTCTCTAGCAATCGACCCCTCTTTTTCTTTTCTCTTTCTTATTATTTAGCAAGGAGGTCATATGACCCCCATTTGTCTCCTAGGGGTTAAAGAGGGTCCAAATTTTGCCAGCTGCTGGCCGCGACCCTCCAGATTCTTTTTTCTTATTTATCTTTCGGCTCCCGAGAACCATCTGTCGTTTGAGGAACGCGACACGCTTGACTTCGAGATGTTTTTGAAAAGACAGCTCTAGAGTAATTTATACTTGTCGTCGAAATCTGCGCAGCCTTGTAAAAATTTACAAGCTAAAAACACCCAGTTCCCGGGGAGCAAAATATATTTTTCCAAATTGCCTATCAACAGCCAGATGTTGTAAAAACACCAACACCTGGTATTTTCGAGGAAACCCAACAACTGGGGAAGGTACTCAGATTTGAGACCATATTGACTAAAAATTATATAAGACCCTTGACTCCCTGTGAAAAACACAGTCCAAATTTTGCGTGCAAAGCGTTACGTTGTGTTCTCAAAATTTGTATTTTCTGAAATATTTTACAAGTCCGCAAAAACTGTTGTGCATATTTTCCTGTCAAAACTGTTGTGCATATTTATCTTGTTATACTTACTTGTCGATTTGAACAAAGGCTTGCGCTGTTTGGGAGAGAATCCCTGGTTGGTTCGCGCACCGGCCAATTGCTGTGTTGAATTTATTCTTAAATCTTCCATTCTTTACAAATTCTTCAGTTTACATCTGTCAGTTGATTTTCTTCTAAGGTGTTCTTGATCATACTCAATAAGTTACATCAATTATATTTATCAAGGTGTACGGCTTGGAAAACTTCTTCTTATAAAAACTGTACACAAGCTTTGGTAACAGTTTAGTATACTTGAAAAATATAAGGAACAAGTTTCTCGCTAATCATGACACTTGAAAATAATATATTTTATAGCACATCATCTTAGAATACTCTCATCAAATGAGTTAACTCTGGTATGAAAAGAGATATAAGATGATCAAGTGGACAGTGCATTGACAAATCATCCTCAGTTGCATTCAACGTCGAAACATTCTTGCGTTGGGTAATCCCCATGAAATACACTTTAAATTAATGGACTAAAGTATTTCAAGCTTGGCGGAATTTCAATTTATAAACGGTACAGTAGATTTTGTACTACGAAATGTTTTCGCCGATGATGCATCGAAGTAAAATCAAGCCTGAGAAAAAAAAAACGATGAAAGCAATCGAGAATTGAAAATCTGCCATTGAGGAAGTGCAGAATTCCAGATGAAATTTAAAATTGACAGTATTAAAACGTCTTGCTGCTTGTAAAATAAATTAGTACAAGGTTTTCCTTTTAAAGTAAATTAGTGCAAATTTAAACAGTTTTTAAAATTTTTAAATTGCCAACACGTCCAAATTTTATTTTGAATTCATTCAATTCTGAAAACGAATACATTTATAGTTTCTACTGCGAATGCAAATCGAACACCCCAACTGGACCCCATTTAACCTGACGTGACCTGACCTACAGCCTATCCTAAAGAACGTTGCTCTAACGGATTTATTCGGAATAACGGAATTTATTCAAGGTATGCGAGGAAACCACTGAAATGGCCACGATTGCTCTCAAGACAAAAAAAAATCTCAAATTGTTTCGACTCTGCAGCATTTTACGTTTTTTTCCTTCTTTTTCGGCCTACAAAAATCCAAAAGCGCGTGTTGCAAAACTAGGAATTCAAATTTCAGGTCGAAAAAGGAAGCGAAAAGCTGAATTTTCATTCATTGCTCCTCAGCGTTTCTTATATCGATTAAAAATTTGCTGATTCCTGAAATTTGCTAAAGACGCGATGACGAACAAAAATCTGCACCATCAGCTGCGCCAGTTTATATTCATCAGCGGATTCGTCCTCAATTCCCGACTCGAGCCCGTTATGTCCATTTTTCCCTTCCTCTTTCTCTCTCTCTCTCTCTGTTTATATCTTACAACAAAGTACCATGAAGTACTATGCATCCAGCAGAGTGCCCATATAGCGGGATTCGGAACGTGGGATGATATTTCTGTGGGTCACGTTGCCGAGTTGAACGTTCGCACTTGATGAGCAACACGGGAAGGAATACGTGAAGAAAGTTACAGTGCAGCGAAGCAGAGAAGAAGGGGATCAGAAGACTGCTTTAAAGCAGAAAGAAAATGAAAAATAGGGACGCCTCGAAGAAGGGAAACAAAAGAGCAAGAAGAAATGCAGTCCATCAATGTTGCTTTATCCCAGGTGAGTTCTAGCTGTAGTTGCAGGCACCAGCAGTTCGCGTCCAGACGCCGAGTGTTGGACAAGTCCACGTGAAACCGACCGCATTTTTTTCGGGTGCTTTTTTTTCTTTTTCAAGGGTAACTTGTGCTGGTGCAATTAACTCAGAAATTTCCACCGAGGCCTATAATGAGTTTTTTCCTAGCTTCCAAAAATATATTAAATACCGTTCTGACTCGTGTATCACTCGCCGCTCTGTGAGACACGCACCATGTTAAAAAAAGCAAGGTATTCCTGCACATTCGAATTAAGATCTCGTGACATTTTTGCACTGTTACTATCTTTAAAAGAGCCTCAGCACAACAGATTTTTGAATAACTGACAGTTCTTGTGTCGAATTCCAAATTCTCCCAGTGCGAGACAAATCATAATCTTTGATTATTGAAGATGATGCAGGAATTTAGAATGCCAGGTTAATTATTTCATGCGTAAATAAAAAGCTTTTTACAATTTTTGATAGCGTTAAACGTGGGTCTTCGATTTTTAAATTCTTTCTCAGTGATCTGAATTTATCCAAAGCGAAAACATGTTCCTAGGCTTTTCAAAAGGCCTTCAACGTTGTTTTTCTTTATGTCTGGAAATTAAGAACAAAAACGTGTGTGATTTAGATTACATTTTTCAACAGTTTCAAACATTATGAAAAATTAAAAAGTCAAGGATTCCGGAAATTACAGTACTTCATATTGAAAATGTATAAAATAATGACAGAGTAATTCACAACCAGCAAATAAAAAGCATGTCTCATCCGATCGAGATCAATTCGATGTTTTTATCCTCTTCAAGGAACAAATGGACTATTTCACATTATGTGCTCCTACGGAATTCCCATGGCAAAATTTGAAATCCTGTTAATCTAATTGCCATTTTATTCGAGTGAGCTCTTTTAGATTTTTCCAAAAAGAATTTTGGAAAACCAGAATGCTAGTGAGTTTATAAGTGAACACAACCAAATTACAGTATTTTCTCTGTTCTTGTCGTAGTTCTTCCCACAAAATAGGTCGTGTAATTTCCCGTCATCTGAGTGATCTATCCAGGTCAGGTGGTTTAGTAATTTGATGCTTTTTTCCTATCATCATACTTAGAAAAAAAAGGGGGAAAATGGAGTTTGAAGGCATTTTTGCGATTTTGCCGAGCTTTGGGACCACGGTGGTCGCGGTTGGCTGTGGAATAGTCGCAATGTACGTCGTCATCATCGGAGGAAACTTCATATCCCCGAAGGTTCGCTATTTTTTTTTAGAAATTCAGCGAGGTGAATACATTTTTGGTATAATAATTTTCCAATCAGACAATTGTGACGATGTTGTGAAATATAAAGGAATTTGACGTGAAACAAAAGTTTGAACAATCTTGACACATGATCGACGCGGATATTTTCGGCATTTTTTTTCATCACTTCTCTTTCAACGGAGAGAGTTTTGCTATAAAAGTTTTTTAATGACATTTTCTTTGATTTTGAAAAAAAATTTTCCGCTGAAATGGAATATTTTCAAATTTACATGTTCATATATTCCCTTATTTAGTATTTATTCATCACTCAAATCTTCATTCCTCAGAAATAATCCTTAAAAAAACAAGACTAGGTTTCATTAAATCGTGTGTTAAATTCTGCTCATTCAGGTAGGGTCACCCGAATTCATCGAATGCCTTCGGACATACATTTGTCTTAAAATCAAACGAGAACATTAATGCATGAGCAGATCGGTAAGATGAATTGCAAATCTGGAGTATGTATACTGTACTTTTCAATTTATGAATATGAAAAACAGTTCAACTAGACCTTGGAATATTGAGTCCGATTTAAAATTCAGTCGCAAAAAAATTGACTTTCTTGCCTGAGATTTTAAAAAATTGTTATTGTTGCAAAAATGGAGCTTTATATTAAGATATCTCGCTATAATTTACTCTTTAAAAGAAAAGTTCTGACCTAATTTAAAAGAAGTACAAAAATGTAGCGTATGATTGTCAGTGATCAGATAAACTCTGATTGAATGAAGAAGGATTTCTATGTTCCTTTGAAAATCGGGGTTAAAATTTTTTTAGTCCAGTAAGTTGAGCTAATTTTCGGATGGGAAAAGCTCAATTTTTCAATCGCTGCCGGACGATAAAACATAAATATGGTACAAGATGAATGACAAAGTCTAGAAATTAAGCCTTGTCATTCTGCCATTCTGAGACAGAACAAAGAGAAGGAATGACACGCAAAATTGCCGCCTCTGGAACTGTGTCAAAAATTGAGAAGAAAAACAGAACGCTGGCCATAAACCTCACGAGAAAGGTCACTGGCGACGTTCGGGTTTATTCTCTCTCTCTCCAATATCTTCAAATTGAGTGTTTCTTTCTGTGTTTCCATTTGCACTCTTACATTTATATTTCTATTTAATTGGAAACAGGTGAATTCCCTCATCCGCCGAGTGGTGACCAAGCGATTCGCCAGCGCCGGCGTACGGATCGGCCAAGACATCGTGATCCACGACGAACGGGCCTTTTGGGCTTGGGCTAAATCCGGAAGTCTCGGGTTCGGGGAAACGTACATGGCGAAAATGTGGGACACGGGTTCTCAGCCACTTGAGGAAATAGTCGCCGGCTTGGCCCAACTTCCGCCGGAAACGAAGCGCAAGATGTTCAAGGCGTGGAACTGGCGCATTTTCGACATCTACTACCGACTCTTCAACATGCAGTCCGTGTCACGAGCTGACATTATTGCCAAAAAGCATTATAATTTGGGCAACGAGTTCTTTTCTGCCTGGCTCGACAGCAACATGCAATATAGTTGCGGGTATTGGGACGGGGTTGCGGACCCCGACGACATCGACGCGGCCCAGGTACGGCATACTTTTTGTATAGTATACGAAAGATCCGGAAAGGAAGGCGTTCCTTTCGACTCGACACCAATTACCCAGTTTTGAACTTGTTCCTACTTACGCTACAAACTGAAGAAGCTTAAAATTGGACCACTTCTGTCTCGAAAATAAAGGTTTTAGAAGGGCAGGTTCATAAATGCTCATCGACTCTGTTGGAATCTCACTGAATATTTACAAATGCCATGTTTTTCAATACTTCTTAGCCTCTCTCCGATTGTTTGCTCTTTAAGAGATTTTTAAACATCCGAGTGCACCCGTTATTGTGAGGAAATTTGGTCCACTTCCCTCAATTTTATGTTTTACGAATTTACAGACAGCGCAAGAGCTACGCGGGAATCGCTTCAATTTATATTAAAACCTTCTTAAATGGACAATATCCCACAAAAGACAACTCTATTTAAGGGAGGCACTTGTAGAAAGAATTTTAGTGAATGAAAAATCCTTTGAGTTGTGCTAAAATTTTACAGCTATACGTAATACATAATTGTATGATCTAGAATCTTCGTTATACCCAAAAAAAATTAATTTCAAGATGCTGATGAAACGTTTGCACTACCCCTTCTATGCAGTGTATTTTCAACACTATTATTTCCATGCACTCGAGGAATCCGATCAATGTATGGAATTCAACTGGGGAATGGGAATCCAATTGTTCGCTTTCTGGCTTGTTAAAGCCAAGAAAAATTGTCAACCGGTCATAGCCACGAACTATTCACAAATTACGAACTTTTCGACCGTTATCATTATTTTATTTTTTCTAGTTATCAACCAAATATTAATGCATGTGTTGACTCTATAGTCATGAAGTTGCTGTAACGAATAGTAAATGCTCCTGGTGAAGATATGCATCTGACGAGCATCTCAGAAATGTGTTACTCAAATCGTCCTCAGAAGTAACAATAATTTTGCTTGATATTCAATTAAACGTCGTGACTTTGTATCAGTTTAACCTTGATAATTCAAATATTTCGAAGTCGAATATATACCCATCATAGTGTCGGCGATAATTCTTTTAAAAGTCCCTGTCTGGATTTCACTTGAAAAATATATTGAAAACCTCCTTTTGCTCGAAGGCTTTCCTTCTGAAACCTGCACATCTCTAATTTTCTAAAGGCCTTTTGAATATTGTTTTATTGAATTGAAATAGGAAAGTAGAAAAGCGATCAAAATGGAATTTTTATTTTGAAACAAAGTGAAAGAATAATTTGGCATATAAACCGTTGCTCCCAATTCATTCCTGCTGCTGTCAAATCATTCAAGAAGCAATTATTTACCACCAAATCAAATTTTGTATAATTCCCCCCCCCCCCTCCGCCAACAACACAAATGCATGTTTCCTTATCTGGAATTTAATTGATGGTCCCATGAATTTTTACGAAGAGGTTAGGCGGTAGCAACAAACGGGAAAATTCTCGACGCAAATTAATCATGGCACAATAACTCGCATTCGAGGTAAAGAAAACAGCATTCTTGCATTATAATTCCGAGGAAGTTTTCTCTGCATATAACGGTTAACGTTCCAGGTGAACAAGATGAATCTGATTGCTCGGAAGCTGCAACTGGAACCAGGAATGACGGTCGTCGACGTCGGCTGCGGTTGGGGCACGTTGTCCTGCTTCCTGGCGTCTAATTACGGCGTCAAAGTGACCGGGGTCAACATCTCGACGGAGCAGGTCAAATTCGCCAGGGAACTGGTGGCTCAACGAGGACTGGCCAACCAAGTCACTTTCATCCTCGACGACTACCGGTTAGTGTTCCGATTTTCGAATCTCTCATCAGCACTACATAGCAGGATATGCGATTTATTTATTTTTTTCAATTATTGAGGCATTGGAATGGGATTCTATAGGCAAGTAAAGCTTGAACAAGATGAACCTACAGTTTTCAACGCCCCAGTTTTACGTACACGAGTGCCGAATCACAAATTTCTTTTAAATGCTGGTCTCAAATCATTCCCTAGCCTTTCTCAGGGTGAGAAAAATAGCACTGATCAAGTTTTCCTTGCTGTCTTTCACATGCTGGAAAAGAAAGTTTCACATCATTTCCGAAGGAATCAAAATTAAATTTAATTATGGCTTTAAAAAAAACTTAAAATGGCGTCTCTGGATTCAGAAATACTTCAAACGTTTTGGAAACGATTCTTGCATTTGAAGAGCCTTTTGGCTTTATTTTCAGTGATACTTGTAGCACTCTTTTTCAAAAACTTCTTGGGCACATAAAAAAGTCGGATGTAGAGTGGGAAAAGTAGATCTTCAATTTAGTGAAGATTGTTACATACAATGTATATACACGATGATGGTTTCATTATACAGCACCGAGTCTTATTTACGGTAACATCATATACTGAGAAATATATATCTATATATATCTATCTATATTCTTATATTTTAAAGAACTTTTTTTTCTGAAATATTGAAAATTTTTTTTAAATGAATCGAAATCATTAAATTTCATGTCGAACAGGAAGTAGATCCAATAGTTGTGCTGAAAAATGCGAAGCGTAAAATATAAACGGGAGAGGTTGGACCAAAAACGACACTGAATTTTATCCAAAATATGGTGTATTTTGAATTATGCAAGTATTCCCTTCACAAACAAATTCGATTTGAATTTCACTTACAGTTGCAAAGCTATTCCATTTTATCGTTTTAGTTGCATCCTAAATTTTGAAAACATGCAGCAAAATGACTGCATCCAGTTGATGTTTCCGCGTAAGTTGCCCTCTGGGTAATTTATATAAATTATCCATAATCAGTCAGACACAACGGTTTTCATAGGTTTGACATTAGAAAATTTTTCAGGCTTTTCTGAAATTTCCTTTGAATTTTCCCCCTAAATTGATCGTCACGCTAACCAGTGATAGGATGTTAAACCCATCGAGGAAAATCAATTTGAAAACACAGGTTACAGGTCATCTGAATAATTGAGCGATTGTCTCGTATATTTTCACAAATGACTTATTTTTTGGCGTTTCTTATACATTATTTCGAACAGCGTTTGATGAAATTGTTTTAGTAATGTCGAGTTTTTCAAATAATATGACACACTGATAATTTAAATGAGTTGAACGGACCCAGAGTGCATATATGACGGATCCGAATTCCAACTCCCATGAAAATTCTCAGTGAAGTCATTGGAGGGAAAATAGCGCTTACAATTTTGGCAATAAAAAAACCATGCACACAGGAATTTGAGCGGAAAATTCGACCGACTCGTCACGGTCGGGTTCCTGGAGCACGTGGGACTCATGAACCTGCCTGAATTCTTCGACGTGGCCCATCGGGTCCTGAAACCCGGCGGACTCGCTCTCGTGCAGTCCATCACCAACGGCAAAACAGTGCACGTGCAAGCAGACCAATTCATTCACAAGTACATCTTCCCCAACGGGTATTTGCCGAGTCCCAAGTTGCTGGTGAAATACGCCGAAAGCAAATTCGTCGTCGAGGACATGCAGAACTTTGGCGTGGACTACATGCGCACTTTGCAAGTTTGGCACAAGCGATTCAAGGCCTGCGTGGACAAGGGGATCTTTGACCCGGAGAAGCAAGACGAGACCTTTGTTCGGATGTGGGAATTTTACCTTTTATACTGTACAGGCGCGTTCAAAGCGAGGATTACCCACCTTTACCAGGTCGTGTACTCGAAGAAACGACCTGAGATTTACATCGCTCCTCGGTGATTTGTTAATTACCGAAACTTATAGGTTGACATTCCGAAACGATTAAGATCCTTGTATTTGATCCTACAGTAAATTATAAAGATCATTCCTGCGGACTTCAGCTCGTGAAGAAGTTTATGACATCAAGATAAGGCACCAGACGGATGGTTAACAAGGTTCACCAGTAACTCAAAATGAAATACGAAAGGATTAAAATCCATAACAAATGCATACAATTTGAAATTATTCTAACGGTCGTCTGATCATAAAAAATGCATTGAAAAACATCTGTATATCTTTCGGGGATGGTTTAAAAGCTTTGTTAGTACCGAAGTGTCCCTTATTGAAATGAAGCACAAGGCGATTAAAATTTCTCTCTCAAATACCGCATTATTCCTTCATGCGTTCAAGCTTTGAAAAGTTGATTGCAAGAAAGATCAATATCTGCCAAAAATGGGCCACAAGTTTTTCCAGTACTTTCAAATTAAGTACAGCACCTATATTTCACTTCAGGCATCCATTTTTTTAGTGCTGTGTATGAGAACTTCCTGATGAAGCATGACGGAATAACCACGACAGGACTCAAATAGGAAGCACTGTTAATTTGCTTAGGAGTTTTTTATTATTTTAAAATTTGCACCTTTTCTTGACACGCAAATGCATCAGGTAAAGCTATGACATTTTATTTTGCTCCATTTCTGTGAAAGTGGGGCGAAAAATAAAAATGCAAAGCTATCTAAAAGGTTTAAAAAACGGCGCGTTTAGCAGTTGGTTCTAACATGAAACAAATCTGACGATGACTGCGTAAGCATTTTCTGAATCAATATTTCAATAAACTTCCTACCTCACAAGCATTTATCAAGTGCGAATGATTGTTTCAGAAATGTCAGAAGAAAAACGACGATATTTTCGTGGGTTCTTCTGAAACACTCTCAAATTTGAAACAGGACGCGTGAGTTCAACAGTTCATGATTCTCGCAAATTGTATATTTTCCGATGACCTCTGTTGAATTCAACGCCCAAAAATCATCAATACGTATTTGAAATATCATAAGCAATAACTGTGTACGTCAGGTAGTTCATGAACTACATTTTCTGAAAGTTCGTGTGATGGTTCGGAAGGTCGGGAAAGTGGTGTTTTGTTTGAGTGGGAAAGGTGACATGAAATATTGTACCGTGCTTCTTATTTCGTCGTGAATGATTCGCAAGTCGATGATGTCGCACTTCCTTGATTTCGTCAGGCTTTTGCGAGGGTTGACAACAGAATCTGGTGAATATACGTAGACAAATCGTCGCATTTCCTCATCATTTTTTCGCCACATGATCGTAGGAAGAAAGCATCTGAAATTCCATCCAGATGGGGGAGAAATAAACCGTAGATGATTTCCTCATTCAGGAGGATTCACGCGATCGGGTTGTTCGGCGAACCTTGCAAGAAAGTCTGCCTTGATGACTTTCATGTGCGAAAAAAGTGCAATCTGATCGCAATTCGCCCGCATCCAGGAATGATTCGACGTTGAACGCTCTGGAGAACAAGAAGGTTAATGGCATGAAACTGATGTTTCCAGAAGAAAGACAGACTGAAAAACAACCGAGAGAAAAAGCATATATACCCAGCCGTGACTAGAACAAAACTTCTAGCTTCATACCAAGTAAAGTAATGTAAATATAATTTTTTTCGCATTTTACTTACATCAGAACAAAGTTGGCATAAAAAGGAGACCCAAATGGTCTTAAATAAACACACGATGTGTATTCATACTCTATATATATGCCCTTGTGCAGCATTAAAGAAACCTACGCATCTCTCCTCCAAAATTACTCAATTACAGTAAAGTAATTCAATAATTAATTATCTATGTACATCACTTATAATGCGGGGAGATCACATGTTTGCAGGTCGGAATTAAAAATGCAAAAACTTTTTGTTGTGCAAAGAACCCATCGCATTGGGTCACAAGGAAATTCTCTCTACATCGAGTTTTTCTGGTCCCCTGAATCACGTTGCACGGAAAGTCTTCCTGTGTGTATCAAAATTTGGGTGAAGTTTTTTATGGGCACTTTTCAGTTCCGCAAATATTCTTCACGGTAAAATATATTCTTCTAAACGATTGTGAGAAACAGCTCAAACCAATGTTGAAGATGTTGAATTTGTCCTTAATTTCAACGCACTAGAAAAAATTAAAAGCGTCGAAACATTTCCAAATTTTCGAGATGAAGGTTAGGTTGAGGAGTTCTTTCGATTTCTGTATTTCAGATCACTTTTGATGTTTTGTCATCACTCAAAATCAGATAAAAAAATTGAGTGCCTGCTTTTTGTGTTAGTGTATCAAGCATCTAGAGAGCAAGATGGTAGTGTTGGAACCTCAATGCAAATATCAATAATCATCTAATTTAGATTCTAAAATTGTAGACTGTAAATATGTTCCGCATCAATCCCCAAGATTTGCAGGCTCATTGTGCAAGATTCCCCGTTTGCTTCAAAATAAAGGTACTCGAATTAACATTTAAATTATTCACGCTACCCCTTTAAACTTTCTGGACCATAAAACCAAAACTGGGCTCATGCAGTACCAATCAGTGCAACCCTATTCACTGTGACTACTGAATAATGTATTAGCCAGATCCCAGATGAACATCCGTTACAACTGATAGAAAAGAAGACAGTCATCGATAAGTAATGGAACCTTTCCGGATGCATTTTTATTGCTTTTTTCCAATGCAAGTGAAAACTATTCACCGCTTTTGACAGGTTTACACATATTGTTGTCAGGGAAAAGCGGTTCCAGGCAGAAGCACGCCCATTACACAGGCTTCAATTAGAGAATAAAATTTTCTAAACTTTCTGTGAGGTGTCGGATGGTGATCGATTTCTTTCCTTGGCAATATTTTAAAGTATACAGTAATCAGTACAATCTAATCTAGGTCAGTGGTTTACAGGGTGAACCTAACTCTTTCAAGTCACACTGAGTACGCCAGTTTCTCATAGAAACCTATTCATCAGCGACCCAATCCCCAGGGGATAACGGCAACCATACGTTCTAACGGGTTCTGGACAGGCAGCAAGTACTTCTTTGATACGAACGTGCAAGCGGACCGAATATAATTCAGGACGCCATCCTCATCATTATCTTTTGAATTCCCACTCTTTCTTGCAGTTAAATGGTTTATAAAAGGATTCAAGAAAATTCGGGTAATCCGATGACACATTTATGTAACAGCTGTTTTTCACAAAACTGCTGGGAAATATTGTACAGTACAGTATACAGGTGGTGGACAGCAAATTGTGCGACACTTTGTGAAATTGCAAAAACACTAAAAAATGGCCAAAGCAGGTGAAATTGTGGGGCAAGGGTCAAATTGTGAGTCAAACTCCCGGCAAATTCAACTGTCAAATTTTAGGATTGTCAAATTGTGAGGTACCACCTGCATATTACGACATCAGAATCCTTTTGAGAGCTTCCATATGTTTCTTACAAATGAAAGAACATATTTTCAGGAATTTAAATGGCCTGCTATGATCAGCATTTTTCGACAAAATCATGCTTTAACTTCAATCGATTCCTTTTTAGAATGGCATACTGCAAATTTGACACATGATAAGCACATGCTGTGTCACGTAATAAGGATTTTAACTATAAGAAAAATATGCATAATGAAAAATACGATGAAATACTACTTCATTGAATTTTTATGCATTATAGTTGACATGCCTATAGATTTAATCAACTCCACGTAACCTCTGATGAGCATAAAATGACTTTACAGGGTTGAAACAATTCTGTTGCTGCACAGATGTCGCTCTTTGTATTTTTAAAGCGTGAAGCACAGCACAGGTTCGACACTGCTGTCTTCGCGAGTGGATATAACGGCCCTCCCTTGCTTGTTTTCTTTTTACTCAGTAATGATAAAAAAAATAACGTCTGAAATCTTTGATTTATCATAAAATAAACGAGCTACATGCTCCATTGAGCAAAAGAAAAATCTGAGAACTGCAATTAATCGTTTACGAACTCTTCGCAGTGCAGATTCAGCCCAAGCGGACTGCCAAAAATAAGTGCCAATATAGCCACGAAACAAATCGTCCATCTCAGAAACTGTTCACCTGAATAACAAATCGAAAATTTCAGGGAATAACGAATGTTTCTGGCCAAATCGTGATGAGAAGGCTGTTTGTGTTCGAGATGACGACGCATAAATACCGCCTCCTTTGACGAGTTAAGTAGCTCAATTCCATTTTTGGCTCGTCAAGAAGATCAAAGCAACCACAAGGCGTGGATAATTGCCCTGAAGGTACTGTTGGTAAATACTGTAAAATGTCTCTGTCACAAAAGTTCCGCAACAGATCGTAATTTGCACATTACCTGGAGCAGGTCGTTGACTTGAACAGATGGCGAAGGTCCGAATTTCTTTTTAATTTTTGCAAAAGGAATCAGTTTTCTTTCGTTTCGTCTCGTGCATTTGCTTCAACAAAGGGAACTAGTGTTTGTACATCAAACACATTTCAACTTTTCTCCACACACACACAATGGCATTGACAGCATCGTAGAAAGGTTGAAGGCTCTCTTTCTGTCTCTTCGTGGACATTCTTGAACCACAAAAAAAGTAAGAAACACATTTTTGTAGTTTGAAACGAGTTTTCTCAGGCTTACGCAGCGAATACCGAAAATACACGAATTAGTTTCAACCCATTTCATTTTTCTGCGAGGGGAAAAAAAGTGTTCTCTCTAAACCGAAAA